CCTCCCTATGTGCTCTGTCCGAAAAAAAAACAACAAACAACAAACAAACAAAACAATAGGTCGTACGCCTCCGGCCAGATGCGCTGGTTCCGCCACGATGCCTCCTTCTACTGGCTTACGGCCAGCAATCCGTCCGTCCTGTCGGACATTGTCCGGTTGTTCTCCGCCGCCTATGGTGCGTGTGTTGCTTCTTCCACGCCAGCCTCCCGCTCCCTGGTGGAATATCCCCCTTTCCCCTCATCCTCCTTCCCCCCCCCCCTCTCTCTCTCCCTCTCGCTCCCTCCCTCTGCCTCTAACCCGTGTCCTCTGTTGGGTTTGCAGTCGCCCCCCACGAGAATGACCTGTCTCCGGTGCCGATCCAGCGCATCGCTCGGACCCTTCCCTTCCTTCTGTCGTCGGCCGAGAAGACCCGCTTCGATGTGGATGCCTATTATGCCCTATCTCGCCGGTCGACCCCCTACCAGTACGGGATCTCCCCCTCGGAGGAGTTCATGCTGGAGGAGCGCATCCTCAAGTACCTCGCTGAGCGGAATGTTTCTCTGCCCCTCAACGTGGATGACACCGAGTAACGACCCCAAGATGGGCCTCTCGTTGCTTGCCCCATTCGCTCCTCCCTTCCTCCCTTTATGGCTGCCACCCTCTCCCCTCCCCCATAATAGACAGGCCAGATCGGCACACACACACACACACACACACACACACACACATATACCTCGACGCACTGGGCGCGTCTCGCCCTCTCCCCCCTGGCTCTGCTAAGAGGCATGGACAGGGCACCTTGTATTCCCGCCTGGCACGCGATGGCACTGCCGGTTGCTCTAGCGTGCCCCGCGTGGCCGGGGCCTCCTCTGGCAGGCGGCGATGTGACGATTCCAGCGGACACAAATGGGCGACGCGTACTCGGCCAGGTGCCGAGAGCTGCCGCGGAAGTCCGCCACATCGGAAAGGAAAAGCTGCCGGACGGGCGCCCGCCGGCCCGGGGCCTCATCCACCAGGGGAACCTGCCGCTGACAGAGGCCACACAGAGCGGTGCCATCCTGCACGCACCAGCCCACCGACCCGCCCCCCGGAGGGCCGAGCACACATGCCGCAAACAGGGGAAAGTGAAAGAGAGGGGGAGAGGAGCCGATTAGCATGTGCGGGGACGAGAAGCCCGGGAGCCAGAGACGGAGAGGAGATGCCAGAACCCAAAGACCCCTGGGCAGGCTCGTCTCACAGAAGGGCGAAGGGGGGGGGGAGGCGCAAGCACGCACCTTTCGCTCATGGGGGTCGGAGATGGACGCCGGCAGGGGGTATGGCCGGCCGGTCAGCCGTGACACCCCGTGTGCCAGCTCGACGTGCTTCCAGAAGGAGCCGTCGGCCAGGTTGAACCACACTGGCGCGTAGGCCGGCAGTCGGGGGATGGACTCCCCCGGGCGCAGGCCCCGGGCAAGGCCCTGCAGGATGCTGCCATCCGGCGGGCAGTCTGGCGACGGCTCGCCAGGCGTCCGATCCCCCGAGCCGGGGTCCACGTCCGGCGGGGGCGGCGCCCAGGGCAGCTGACACCCCCGCGACATGGTTTCCAATGCCAGCCGGTGATTTGTCGGATGGTAGTCTGGACGAGGGATGAACAGCTGGCTGTCGAAGTGGCCGCCATTCAAGAACGCCCGCAGGGTGAAAGCCTCGGCGCAGAAGTCGCACCTGAGCTCCTGCCCGGGGCCCTGGCCGCGTGCCCACCGGGGCACCAAGCGGCCCTCAACCGACGGGGCCGTGGCAGGCCGGTACGGCTTCCAGACAGTTGGCATTGGTCAGGCTCGCAGACGCACATGCAAGCAACCGCACCCACCCACGCGCAGACACCTGCACCCCCACCTGGAGCGGAGGCCCGGGGCAAAAAGCAAAACAGCCTAGCCCACGCACATAGGATCGGTCCGAGCGCGGGCGCTTTGGCAGGGCGGCCGCCGGTTGAAGTAGCCCCGCCGGCATGGGAAATCCACGGGGTGCCTCGGCCGACGGTGCCGGGCGTTGGCGTTTCCGACTGGCCGAGTCATTTGACAAGTGGGTGGCCTCATCTTGCGGCGAGTCCGGCGGGTGGGACGGACGCCCAGCCGCCGGTTCCGGGGAAAGCAACACTGATGAGCCTCCCCCAATCGGCATGAGTCGCGCTTCCGGGGCATTTACCAGCAACACCGGCGACAGGTCGGGCGAGGCAATGCGAGCCGACACCACCGAGGGGCCGAAATCCATCCGTGGCGTGGATGTCGTCAAGCCGCTGGCGCTGGCGCCGGCGCTGGCGCCGGCACCGGTGCCCGCGTCAGTCACCAGGTCCGAGGGCATCGGCAAGCCAACACCGACCCGAGGGACGAAGGTGTGTGTGTCCCAAGCCGGGGAATCGGCCCAGGAGGAAAGTTCCGCCAGATGGGCCTCGCCCATGCCCGGGGGGGAGGGGCTTGTCGGGTCGGTGGCTGACCAGCCCTCCTCGGCCGGCCAGCTGGCCGGGCTGCCGACAGCAATGCCGAAATGCTGCAGCCGGTCGAGCAGGCCGGCCGACGGCCCGACTGGGTGCACCGTTTCATCGAGCAGGTCCCGGGCTCCCGGCTGGCCACGGTCGCCGGTCGGCTGAGGCATGCCCTCCGAGGGAGATTGCCCCGGGGGCAGCATCACATCGAAGACCATGCTGCCGAAGTCCAAGATGCTCGACACCATGCCCCCCGGCAGGGGGGACCTCCACATGCCGGTGGCATTGCGGGGCGTGGCCTCGGGCGATCGGCGCCGATGGCGCTTGTGCAGGCGGCGCCGGCGCCGCCAGCGCCGGGCTTCAGATGCCAGCACCAGGGGGAAATCCCCGTCTGAGTGATCGAAGAGCGAGGAGGACAAGCAAAAGACAGGGCCGTGGCCCGGAAGGGGGAGCAGGGCGGTCAGCAACGGGGAGGCCGCATGCCGGGATCTCGTGTGGCCAGAGGGGTCTCCCCCCGACGGGAGGAGGGGCATCCGTTGCACGCACCAGGGCCCGCGGCCCACGAGCAGGGCAAGCGCCGGTCCCGTGGCCGAGCCAAGGGCTCCGGCCAGGCGACACTATACCAGAAGGTCTGGTGGAAGTGCCCATCAAAGAGGGGCCCCTCGCCCCGGCGGGGGAAGGCCAAGTAGGCCAAGTCCGCCAGGAAGTCGGCTCCAATCACCCGGCACCGGGCGCATGTGGCACGCCCGGCGACCAGAGCCCAATGGCCCCGGACCAGGGTCTTGGCTGTTGGCGGCCGGGCCCCCAGGCGCAAATGCCCAAGGCAGGGAGCCCACGCCCCATGGTGGTAGAGGGCAAGAGCCTGGCCGAGCGCCGGCGATGGCCCATGTCCGGCCTGGAGGATCCGGAGGAAGAAGTGCCCAAAGTGCCGACACGCCCGGTCGAGCACGGCATCAGACCGCGCGCACAGCAAGCACCACGGCTCGGCGGCCCACTCGGCCGACCGGCGGATGGCCCGACCCAGCCGGGCCCCGGCATTGGTCGCGTGCCCGGCCTCGCGCTTGGCGCATCTCACGGCCCCAGACGCCAGCCAGGGGGCCGCCGAGCTGGCAGCCGTTGGCCGGATCCGGCGCGACGCCGACCACAGGGGCGTCCCATCGGTCGGCTCGCCGGGGCCGGGCACAGGCCCGGGGCCGCTCACGCGCGGGGGAGTGCTCGGCGGCGGCGGCGGCGGCGGGGGCGGCGGCGGCGGCGGCAGCGGCGGCGAGGTCTCGGGCGCCGAGCCGGGAGCCGGGCCGGCCAGCCAGCTGGGCAGCAGCGCCCGAATCAGCGGGTCCTGCGAGGCCCCAGGTAGCTCCGGCAGCCGGGGCTCATACGTGATGAAGGCCTCCAGCGAGGGCCCAAGCAGGGGTGAGGGGTCGGCCTCGTCCGGCTCGGACTTGATGAGGATCGCCTCATCGAGCCCGGCCTCCGGCAGTGAGGCGGCCGAAGCGATGCCGCCCTGCCACTGGGGGGCGTCGACATTTTCCTGCTTGATGTGGATGCCGGCCGTCAGGTCCGGCGCCCTGCCAAGCATCCCACACACACACACACACACACGCTCGCGCACCGTGGAGCGCGGATGCCCAGCGTCCCTGAACGGCCGCGCGCCCGTGTATGAATGAGTGGATGAATGAGTGCGGGCGTGCGTCTGGTTGGGTCTTTCTCACTCTCTCACTCTCTCACTCTCTCTTTCTTCTGCCTCCGATAGGGAGGTGTGTGTGTGTGGGTGTGTGTGTGGGTGTGTCTGTGTGTGCGTGTGCGTGCGCGTGCGTGCCAATCGCACCGACCCCGGCGGAGAGGCGGCGAGAGGAGCCAAGGCGATGCGCGGAAGGGGGGGACCGGTATGGGGAAACGTCGAGGCGCCGAGTGTGAGGGGGGGGGGGGGGGGGGAGGTAGTGATTATCCTGTCCGTGTGTGCCAGGGGCGCCTGGTGCCAGGGGCAAGCTTGAATTTAGTGCGCCTAGTTTGCGCCCGGTGCCGGGGCCATCCCCGCGCACCGGCCCGTCTGGCCGCACCTGCCCACCCCCGCCGGGGGGAGGGGGCGATCTGGCGGCGTCTGCCTGGTGGCCCGAGTGGCGCACGCTTGGGTCGACCGGCTGTGGATCTCACTTGGAGGGGGGACGATCCCGGGCAATGATCCGCCCCCCCCCCCATTGGGCACGCCCCCGGCGGCGTCCGCGAGGACGGCTCGCCCGCGCCGGCCAGATCGCCGCAGGACGTGCCCCGACTTGTGCACCAAACCCAAGCCATGGTGCGCTGGCAGGTGCGGGACGTTTTTATTTGAAATGTCCCTCGCCGGGGTGTGTGGCGGCTGTTCCTGCGGTCCGGGGCGCCGCGGGATGCCCCCCCCCCCCCCCCCCCCCCCCCCCCCGGGGCACGGGTCAGGCCCTTTTCGGAGGGCGCCCGGCGGGCCATGGGCTCCCCCCTGGCCGTCACAGCATCTTCTCTCCTTCTTTCTTTCCCTCCCCCACCTCCCCCTCTCCCTACATACATATTCCCTCCCCTCGTGTCTTTGTCCGGCGCTCTTTCACCCAGACACACCCGCCTTCCCCTCCCTCTCTGTTGCAGCATCCCGCCCACGCGCACGGAAGAGCTCCTGATGGCCGCGCCCTCGACCCCCTCGACGCCGCGCGCCGCGCAAAAAAGTCTGCTGGCCTTCTTCTCGCGGCAGCCCAAGAAGGAGCCGGTCGATGCCATGGGCCCCGGGCCCTCGGTGCCGGCCGCGCCGCCCGGTGTGTCTTCCCCTCGCCTTCCGTTCCTCTCCTCTCCTCTCCCCTCACCGCGTGCCCGCGTCTGCTCCTCCGTGTGGCTCTGCCACCGCGCTCGCCACAGCACTGACCCCCACGCGCTGGACGTTCTTCCCCGGGCCTTCAACCAGCAGTTGAGGCCGGGCCCAAGCGCAGTCGCTCGCCCTCGCCCCCGCCGCGGCCGCTCGCCAGCCCGATGAAGATCGAGCCGACCTCGGTGGTCAAGCCCGAGCCAACCTCGGTGGTCAAGCCCGAGCCGGTGGCAATGGGTGAGCCCGAGTCGCGGCCGGCGGCGCCGCAGCACACGCCAAAGCGCGCGCGCCGGGCCACGGCCCTCATCCTCGACGACGACATGCACACCGCCAGCGAGCACTCCGACAGTGACTGCTATGTGCCCGAGTCGGAGGAGGACTCGCCGCCGGCCCGGCGGTCCACCCGACTGACTGGGCGCCGGGCCGCCGGCGCCGCTCCCGCCGCCACCGCCACCCCCCGGCGGGACAGCGCCTCCGCCGAGTCCGGCCATCTGGGCATCCACTCCGGCCTGGCGGCCACCCCCCAGCGGCCGAGCGGCCCGTTGGCCGCGTTTGCCAGCCCCTCCGCGGCCCCGGACACCACCCCCTCACGGGCCCCGGTGTGGACCCCCTCGCGGACCCCGGGCGGGGGACTGGCACGGCCGCTCTTCGCCCCGGGCAGCCCGGGGTTCATGGAGCCGGACACCCCGAGCGGCGGCGGCGGCGGCGGCGGCGGCGGCGGCGACAGCCTGCGCTATGCCTTCCTGCAGAACCCGCTGGACGCGCGCCGGCGCCCGCGCGACCACCCGGACTACGACCCGAAGACGCTGTACATCCCGCCGGAGGTGATGCGCACCTTCAAGCCCTTCGAGGCCCAGTACTGGAAGATCAAGTGCCAGTACTTTGACACGCTGCTCTTCTACAAGAAGGGCTTCTTCTACGAGCTGTATGAGGGCGACGCCGACATCGGTGTCCAGGAGTTGGACTTGACCTACACGCGCATGGCCCGGGCCGGGGAGATGAAGTGCGCCGGCTTCCCCACCAGCAAGGTGGAGGAGTGGACGGCCAAGGCCCTGGCCCGGGGGTACCGGGTGGCGCGCGTGGACGAGATGGAGTCCGGGCTGGCCAAGAGCCTGCGCGCGCGCGAGGCCGGCCAGCCCCCGGGCGGCACGCCTTCCGGCTCGCAGAGCACCGTCCTCGGGCGTGGGCTCACGCAGATCGCCACCCCCGGGACCCTGGTCCATTCGGAGCTCCTGCTGCAGGGGGCGGCGCCGCGCTTTTGCGCGTCCATCTGCCAGGCCACCGTGCCCGGGCCCGGTGGCGCCGGCTCGGTCACGGCTTTCGGTGTGGTGCTGCTCGACGCGTCGACCGGGCAATTCCGTGTCGGCCTCATCCGCGAGGAGGATGACACCGCGGCCGAGGACCCCCACGCCGGGCCGGGCGCCGGGGGGGTGGCCTCCGGCGGCATGTGCATCGGGGCGGCCGATTGCGCCCGGCTGGAGACCCTGCTGGTGCAGACCCGGCCGCGGGAGATTGTCTACCCGCGTGGGCGTCTTGACCGGACGGCCTTGCGGGCCATCCGAGCGGCGGCCGCCCGCGTTGGCGGCGGCTCCACCGGCGCCCGGTATGGCTCCAATGTGCTGACGGCCCTCGAGCCGGGGTCCGAATTTTGGGATGCCGCCGCCACCGAAGCCGAGCTGGACATGTACCTGGCCCCGGGTGCCGGGGGCGCATCGGCCGGCGGGCCGGATGCCAGCCCCCTGCTGCAGCAGCTGGCCGACTCGCTCGACGCGGCCTTCGACCAATTCACCGCCATGGAGACCGAGCAGCCCGGCGACAAGGCGGCCGCCCTGGGCCACGGCACGGGGGCCCCCGGGTCCGGGCGCTTCCTGGACCGGCTGCCGGCCGAGGTGGCGGCCCTGCTGCGCGCGGAGCCGGTGGTCCTCTCGGCTCTCGGGGGTTTGGTTTGGTACTTGCGGCGGATCCGCCTCGATGAGGATCTCCTCCTGCAGGGGCGCTTCTCCATCTTGCAGCTGGCGGACGACCTGTCGCACTTGGAGCAGCCGGCCGGGGCCGGGGCCGGGGCCGGGGCCACGACCACGGCCACCGACCAGGACTCCTGGCCGGAGGCCGGCTCGGCGGCCACCGCCCCGGTGCTGGTCCTCGATGGCAAGACCCTGCTCAGTCTCGGGGTGGTGGATGAGAGTCCGGAGGCCGGCGAGGCGGCGGCCAGCGCCGGGCGCCGGGCCCTCGGGTCCAGCTTCGACCCGCTGACCGGGGTGGCCAGCTCGCTGCACAGCCTGCTGGATACCACCCGCACCGCCGGCGGGGCCCGGCTCCTGCGCGACTGGTTGCAATACCCGCCGGCGGTCCGGTCGCAGATTGAACTCCGGCAGGATGCCGTCGGGCAGCTGCTCACCGGGCCCGGGGCTTCCGGGGCCGAGGACCTGGCCGCCGCATTGGCCGCCGTGCCGGACATCGAGCGCCTGGTGTCGCGCTTGCAAACGGCCGGCGGCGCCTCCGGCGGGTCCATCGGGCCCAAGATGTTTGTGGACCTGGTGGCCGGTGTGGAGGCCATGGCTCAGGTGGGCGAGACCCTGGGCCGGGTGGTGGAGCGTCTGGCCCGGGCGGCGGCCGATCCGGCCGCCGTGGCCGAGGATCCCGGCCTGGCGGATGTCCGCGCGCCGCCCGGGCTGGTCCCGCGCTTGGAGGCCCTGGCGCGGGTCTTCCACGGGGCGCGGCTCCGGGCCACCGTGGCCAATGTCTGGCGGCAGGTGGACCGGCCGGCGGCCCTGGCGGCGGCCGCTGCCACCGGCACGGCTGCCGCGGCGGCCGGCGGCCTGGCCCCCTGCGCCGGGTCCCTGCCGCCATACGACCAGCTGGCCCAGAGCATCGGCCGGCTGGAGGCCGAGGTGGAGGCCCTGCGCCGGGATGTGGTCCGGCAGCTGGGCGCCGCGCGCGATGCCGATGTCTCCTTCCGGTCCATCGGCAGCGATCGGTTCCTGTTGGAGATTTCGAACAGCGCGCGGCTGCGCAACCCCGGCCTCCTGGACCGGGCCCCGACCGGCGGGGCCCACACCAACTCGGATTTCATCCTGGTGTCCAAGACCAGCACCCTGCGGCGCTTCCTGACCCCGGCCGTGCGGGATGTCAGCCAGCGCATCGCCGAGCTGGAGGACCGCCGTGCCGAGGTCCTCCGGCTCTTCGGGGCCCGGCATGCGGCCTTTGTGACCCGGCGCCAGGCCCGGCGGGCGTGGCTCCCGGCGGCCGAGGCCTGCGCCGAGCTGGACTGCCTGCTGGCGTTGGCCCGGGCCAGCAGCCCATCCGGCCCGATGGGTCCCTGCGTCCGGCCGCGCTTCGTGCCCCTGACGCCGGCCGAGCGCCGGCGGCCCCTGGCCGAGGCCTATGTGCGTGTGGACCGGCTCCGGCATCCGCTCATGCGGGCCGAGCGCTTTGTGCCGAATTCCCTGGCTTTGGGCCGGCGGCCGGCCGGCCTGGCCGCGGCCCTGGCCGCCGAAGGGGTGTCTCCCCCGGCCGGTGGCAATGCCGACCAGCCCGGGGCCGCCGATGACGATGCGCACATCCTCCTGCTGACCGGCCCCAACATGGGTGGTAAGTCCACCCTCCTGCGGCAGGTGTCCCTGGCTGTCATCCTGGCCCAGGTGGGTGCCCGGGTGCCGGCCGAGCACATGCTTTTGAGCCGGCCGCTGGTGCGCATCTTCACGCGCATCGGTGCCAATGATGACATTGTGGCCGGCCGGTCGACCTTCATGGTGGAGATGTCGGAAACCGCGCGGGTGCTGAATCGCCAGCGGCAGCCGGGCCCCGGGGCCGTGTCCGGGTCGTCGCCCGGCTCGGCCGCCCTCCGGGCCAACCTCCTCTTCCCCACGAGCCTGCGCCACCCGTCGGCCGGGCCGTCGCTGGTCATCCTGGACGAGCTCGGCCGGGGGACCAGCACGCATGATGGCTATGCCGTGGCGTATGCCGTGCTGCGGGAGTTGCTCGTTCGCCCGGCCGGCTCGCTGGTTCTCTTTGCCACGCACTACCACCAGCTGTCGGCGGCCTTCGTCCAGGGGCCTGGTGCCGAGCAGGCCGCCCGGGCCCCGGTCCGCGGCATCCGCGCCTGCCACATGTCCTACGCCCTGCACAAGTATGTGGCATTGCCTGCTGTCCTCTTTCCTCTTGCTCTGCCTTCTTTTCTCCTGTTCTGTCTTCCTTCCTCTTGCTCTGCCTTCTTTTCTCCTGTTCTGTCCTCCTTCCTCTTGCTCTGCCTTCTTTTCTCCTGTTCTGTCCTCCTTCCTCTTGCTCTGTCCTCCTTCCTCTTGCTCTGTCCTCTTTTCTCCTGCTCTGCCTTCTTTTCTCCTGCTCTGCCTTCTTTTCTCCTGCCCTGTCCTCTTTTCTCCTGCCCTGTCCTCTTTTCTCCTGCTCTGTCCTCTTTTCTCTTACTCTCTCTTTCCCTCGCTCCCTCTCCCCCCCCCATTGCCGCCTCCCCTGCAGTGGTAACCTCGTATTCCTGCACACTCTGGCCGCCGGACCGACTGAGGCCTCCTTCGGCCTGAATGTGGCCCGCATGGCCGGCGTCCCGGAGGGGATCATCGCACGTGCGGCCGAGGCATCGCGCAAACTCCTGCCGGAGGGTGTCGCCCCCGGCCCCAGCCCTTCGGGCGGGCTGGGCATGGTCAACCCGACATCGAGCCCGGCCCCGGGGCCCGACGTCCTGGAGACCTACCATTTGGCCGACTCGGTGGACCTCCTGCGCGCGGTGCAGGGCGCCCGCGCGGCGGCCGACGGCACGCTGGACTTCCAGACCGCCAACTTCCTCCTGCGTCTGCAGCGCTGAGGCCTGGCATTGTCTCCCTCTCCCCTTCTCTCTCTCCCCCCCCCTCTTTCTTTCTTTCTTTCTCTCTCTCTCTCTCTCTCTTGTGCGCGCGCGTGCATGCATACAGGCACACATACGCGCGCGTCCCATACACCCGGGTGCATGTGTGCGCGCACGTACCCGCACGCACCAGCCTGCCCAGTCTCAATAGAAATGGCGTCCGCCCCTCCCTTCTCCCTGTCCTCATGCGTGGGCCATGCATCTCTCCCGCGACACAGACCGCCAGTCAATGTGTCTTGCTTCATTCTACACACATACAGAGAGGGGCAGAAGCAGCCAATCGCAGACTCGATGCACACACGGCTTTGGGCTCCGTCATCCGGAGAGGCGGCTAGCCCGCGGTCGGCCGGCGCCGTGCCAGACGGGACAAAAACTGGCGGAACTCCGGCTCGCCGCCGGCACTGGGGTGGAGGACGGCCCGAGCTGGGGTCAATTTGGGGAAGCAAGAAGAAGGGAGAGCGGTCGACCTGCCATGCCAGCAGCAAGGGCAGATGCAAGAACACACGGGCAAAGAGGAGGGCAAAGAAGAGGAAAAGAAAAAGGAACATTCGTACATGACGGCCAGCAGGCTCAAGCCAATGGCCCCAGCCGCGCCCAGGTGCAGAAGAGCCGGCCGCACGGTGAAAGCCCCAGCCAGGTAAGGTCCATAGGCTGCCTGCTCGGCGCGCGCCAGCAGCCACCCGGCCGCAGCCAGCCCGACGAGGGTGCTCCACCGGGGGACACAGGCGCGCCAGGTGGGCCCGTGCCCGGCCCCCGGCGGCCGGCATCGGGCAATGCACCACCAGCCGGCCGCCACGCGCAGGGCCATGGCCACCCCATTGGCGGCGACCAGTAGAACCACATACACGGCATCCGGCGGCACGCGGGCCAGCCAGGCCCGCAGCCAGGGCGCGCGCGCGCCCGGCACCAGGACCAGCCCGGCCGCCGCGGTGCCCATGTAAAGCAGCGACACGAACGTGCTGGCCTTCAGGTGAGACCGGAGGACGGGCCGCGGCGCGGTCGATGTCACAAAGGCTGTGGTTCGGGGAAAACCCAAGGCGCCCGGCCACGGCAACGCCACCGCGGCAAAGGTAGCGCCGCCATACACCGAGAGGAAGATCACAGGGCGTCAGCGAGCGTTCGACATAGAGCAGGGAAAGCACGAGCCGTGGCGAGAGGGACAACGGCGCGGGGGCAAGGGGCGGGCGG